ATGGTCAAAGGACATGCCCAAGGTGACATAGCTGGTAAGCGAAAGGATCATCTTATGTCAAAGAAATAAAAAGTCATAAAATGAATATCATTTTCTATTTTCATCAAAATGCATAAACGTGAATTTTAGGAAGTAGTTCCAATGTAATGTTAATTTCTCCTAAATGCCCCCTGTACTAAAGAGACACTACAGCTCTAACGTTATACGTTGTATGTGTTTATTCATGCTTTAAAGGTTATATTTCTGCTCTACATCTTTCCACATCTTTATTTGCAAATTTTTCCTCACAGATATGTATTGGTCTATTGCTTGCATTTTGAAACCAAATTGTTTAGTGTTCTCACCCTTTGAGATTGCTCCTTCTTAAAGCAATAATATGGAAAATGTCCACAATGATGGAAATACCTGTCCCCCCGCATTAGTCACGCCCGGGAAGACACGCATCTCTCACATTTTGTGTGAAATACCCATTGGTATTGGAAACAATTGTTCTGTGGCTGTTTGCATCATTTACTCAAACCCTCCATCTTTGGTTCCTTAACCGCTTTATCTCCAGGAAACAGAAATTTCAAAACCTGTCCCTTTGGCAAATTCATACCCCTACAATTAAACAGGAAAGCCTAAGGACTTCAGAACATCTAAAATATGTAATAAAATTACTGCTGCCCATCAATAGTCCAAGAGAAAGTAGGAGTTTCCACAGTCACAGAGCTTTTCATTCTCACAAGTGATTTCAACTAAATATCACTTTACAAATTCACAAATGTACCACTGATTAAGTATTATGGTTAAAGTAAGATATTTATTTCCTTTTCAATGTTTGCCTCAATCTGTATAATCACGAAGTGGCAATCTAGAGATAATTCCACCCTCAGTTAATTTTTTCAACACTCTTACACAAACCTTAGTTGCTCCTATTTTGTTTCCTCATACCCAGATCACTGAAACCTATATGGCAGCAAAACCCTATAAATCTAAGGGCAGGAGCTTGAATTGTTGTCTAGCACATTCAACAGTAACTTTTCCAAATCGATGTTAAAAATACACAATCAAGATTACCAAAAGATACGATCATGAGAAAGCTTCAAGATAGAAACATGGTAGAAAAATAGAATCAGAATGTCACAACGAAAAGTGCAGCTGTCATGTCTTGTTAATCAACGTGGTGGACAATGATACTTCTGATGGGTGAGAGGCTGGGGTGGTATCTGGGTTTGTCAAAGAAAAGTCAGTGCTCTCTTTCCTTTCTTCTTTTGCTTGCTTATAAATCCAGGACAAAAATAACTCTGGAAAACATTAATAGTTCAAAAATACTGTCTTCTTAATTTCAGAAGGAAGGAAGATGGCATCATGGCGCCTGGGGTAAGTGCTGAGTACATAGTCCAAGTTGGGATTCCCATCTCCGCTTTCTCAACAGGAGCTTACGTAAGTCCCTCGAGGATGGAAGACTTCACTTTCCTGACACCCAGCTCCGCTTCTTGAGTCAAGATGTGAAATTAAATTGTTTTACAAAGCGATAGTATTGAGTATATTCCTTCACAAGTGTTATTTTAATGAAACCTCACGATCATTCCCATTTCACAGCTCAGGACACTGAACTTCAGGCTTTTAAATGGTTTGCCCCATCACCCAGAACGGGAAAGGCCAGGGTCCCAACTTGACATAATAATCCTAATTCTAAATCCTGTGTTTTCCCATTTTATTGTTTTTGTGTTTGGGGAATATGGAAAAGAGAAATCCAAGCGGACCGTATAATGTGAGAGGGAAAGGTAGTCAATTATGAAGCCTTAAATCCTACGTGCCAAGGTGAGGAATAGACAGAGGGAAGTCTGAGAAATTTAGATCACTCATAATTAGATTTTTAAAAGAAAGAAGTAATGAGACATGAGAGTGCTAATAGTTGACCTTGATTTAACGTAGTGATATCTTTCGGTAAGATTTTTTTTAAAGGAGTTATAAACCTACTCCAAAAACCGCCAGCAGAGGGCTCCATGCTCGGTGCCTTCGCTTTCGATTGATTAGTGGCGCCCACATTTATCGGAACATGTTTCTTCTGTCTGAGGTTGAGGAATGGAGGGGATTATTAACTCTCCTCTTTGCTGTTATAAGAGGAAATAAATATAAGTGTAAGGGGAAAATACGAATAGAAATATCTGGGATGTCTCCAGCGCGCTTCTATCTAGGCGAGCATGTGTGTGCTCTGAAAATGAAATACGTGCACAAGGCAAGACGCAATGAAAAACGAAATGATGATGAAAATGCATCTTTTACTCGTCTAACTTTCCTTTGAAATCAGAGTTTGTTTAACTCATGAGTTTTCATTTACTTAGACCTTGCGGGAATCTTTTCCCACATCCCATGATTGGAGGTTAAAGCTAAACGCAGCAGAAAGTTAAGAGCAAGAGAGAGGCAGGCTCAAGTTAGGCAAATTTTCTCAGTAGAGATTGAGCTTTTATTTATACATTTTCTGAGGCGTTTGAACTTTCTAGATGCTGAAACAGTCGTTTCTAAAATTAGTAGATATAATAAGAACTGAACTTTTAAAATGCTCTCAGGAGCAACAGGGTTTTCAAGAACCGAAAGAAATCGCTGAAAACAAATCTAGCGGCGGTGCAGGGTTCGCTTATATTAAATCCCGACAGAGGGCGCTGTTGCCCGTTCAATGACTTAAGGAAGGTTCCCTGGGAAAGATTCCTCTCGCAATTTCTAGGATTTTTTCTTTTAATAATGCCCACGTTGAAAAATTGACTTGGGTTTTAATTATTGCTGTGTATTTCTTTCAGTATCTATTATTTGTATATTTTTAAATTTATGCTTCATTCTTAATAAAACCAAATTTATTTTTGTTTTCCTTAAAAATGTATATAAATTAACCAAATATTTAAAGACATTCCTAATTTTAAAATGCCTAATATTAGCATAAAATAAAATTACGCAGGCAAAATTTGAAATTATACGTATTTAAGGCTATAAAATAGTTATACTAACAACATATTATATATCTTAAAATAGTTTTATGTATAAACGTATCTTTCTCAGGTGTTTTTTGTTAAGCTTTAGAATTTATTTTAGACTAATCAAAGATATACCAAAAAGAGATGGACAAGATATTAAAAGCATTTAGAGGAAAAATGTAATGCTTTTTATTGGGGATAGAATTGTCTTTAGATAAAAACGATAATGGAGTTATTGACTTGAGAGAAGACCATTATTCCCATTAATAAATTTGTGTCTAGAGAATCTGAATTTCCAAGTGTGTCATATTCATCTTGCAAAGTATTGATCAGGGACTGATTTTAGTTCCGAGAAGGGTGAAAACGGAGGGTAAACCCGTTTCAAGTCCTACCACATAATAAAATTAGGAAGAATGTCTTTCCATGTCCAAACCAGCTCTGGGGGCAAAGAAGAAAATCTTTGCTCGTGCTCCCAGTGGAAAATCTGTATAGGTTTTGTACGATTTAAGGTGTTAATATTTAAAGTAGAGGGAAGGAAGGAAAACAGGATGGAGGGAAGAAAGGAAGGAGGGGAGGAGGGAGGGAAAGGCAAAACATAAAAATTAGAACTGGAAATGAAGAAGGGGTTTATTTCTGAAGTTCCTCCTAAAGCACCTTCTTTGAGTTCCTTTCATTTGATTTATGGTTTAAAAAATTAAATTAAAAATCTACTGAATTGTTCTTTATTCTGCATTATATGAAGCGCCTCCTTGGTTTTCATCAAATCGATATCCAGCGCGGTTGTCCGGAGCCCCGTCCTCCAAGCCCGTCGGCCGCTGCTCCCGAACGGCAGCGCTCAGCATCCGTGAGCTTCACAGACGATCGGCCTTTGCAGATTAACTGTTACCAGGTTTAATAACTTCCACCTCAAATTGCCCCGGTCCCTCCTCATTCCCTCCCGTCATTTATTTTCTGCCCCAGGGGCAGAGATCCTCCACTGGACTCCCCTTCCGGCAGTGAGGATCCTTCCGCAACCTGAAAGGGAGTAGAAAAATAAATGGAGTGGGGAAAAGGTGAGTATTCACTTCGCGATGAAATTCGCAAACCCTGTGCCTTAAAGGCACCCATTTTCGAGGTTTGGTTAACTTTGTTCTTGTTGTTTATGTTTCCGTTAAACTATACTAATCACCTAAGAAAAAATACACTCAAAACAAACACACACACACGTCCCTAAAATATTTTTCACTATCTCTTTGAAGAACATTCTGCTTAAATCTTCCAAAGGTTCAGGTGACCATTTCTTGGTTCTCTATGATTAAAATCAGTTAAAAGTTATAGACAACAGATGGTGATATAAAATGTTCTAAGCCTCTGCAAAGAAGGCTCGGAATTCACATTATGTGAATGTGTGCCTGTGTTGCTCTCAACATCTCAAAAAAAAACTTCATAAAATGGAGACTTCAGCCAAGAAAAGAATGGCACATGGAATCCGTTGAAAATACACACAAACCACCTCTAAAACGACAAACAGTACAGGTTGAGGTGTCCATACAGTATTTAAGTTTCCAAATGTGTTGGGCAAAACGACCAGAAAATATTAGGAATGGTCACTGTGCTGAGCTGGCTTTCCTGTTCCACAGTGACAGAGGTACAGTTCAAAAAAAAAAAAGTTATGTAGACATCAACACAGAGAGATCGCCCTTAAAATCCCAAAATTCAGCTTTCAAAATACCCTCCTGCTGAACGACATGAATAGGAGCTTTTGTGTTTAAAAATCTCAGTAATGGTCCCCCTTTTAAAATCTACATAGAAAATGGGGGACTGTTGGCCCCCTGGTTTCTCATTATGAGTTATAAAGACTTTAGTCAGTGGCTACAATGATTCATCGTTTTCAATCTAGAGGTTTTAAAATGTATATATTTATATTAATCACAGTGAATAACTCTCTCTCCTTTAAATGCATGTTTAGAGTCTGTCGACTCTGTGTGACCCAGGGGTGCTTATATAACTAAATGTGGGTGTCTGAGTGTAAATACGTGTTTATGATTTTTATAATATATATGTCTGTGGGTTGTATCTAACTCCTGTGTGTGGAATAATGTTTTTCCCTCTGCTGAGGCTTACTTCTCCAGCCTATTGTTTGAGACAACAGATATAAGTTGCGATGGGAGAGGAGCGTCGGATTTGGTGTGTATCCCCCATTTCCAATTATAGATGGATCATTACAGACAGCGGAGTCCTGAGAAGCCAGACATCTGCTCCTCACATGAATGCACTCACCTCCTAGAGATCAGGCTGCCATCATGCTCTGGAAGCTCGTGGAGAATGTCAAGTACGAAGATATCTATGAGGTGAGCCGACACCCCCAGATGCATCTTAGAGCTTTGCAGATAGAGAATTTGAGCTTCTTGACACCCCAACTGATACATATTTTTAAGCTATTTACTCGTAGATTTCCGGTCGGTTTTATCAGCTTTCTCTAACTTTTAGAAAAGCTGGCTTGGGGAGACTTCGCTATTCTGCAAACGGACTTTAAGGTTGAAATCTGACTACGTTAACTTAGGAGATTTCTTTTTCTTCTTTTATTTTTCTTTCTCTCTTCCTCACCCCCTCCCTTTAGGCTCTGATGGGGAATGTGGTTCCACTGAATGTGGGCAGAGAAAACAGAGACGGATAAAGGCAGAGGCTCTTCCTCGTTTTGAGTGTGGGAGAGAATTAGGGTTTCAAGCCTCATTCGTAACAAGCTCGGGCTTTTAAATTTTACCTTCAATAAAATTTCTGAAACCGATTACAAACGGATCCGAGTAGAGGACGGAAAATTAGAAGGAGGGAGGTAGATAGATAGACAGATGGATAGATGGATGTCGAAAGAGCACAGTCCAAGGAGCCGTAGCAGACAATTTTTTATTTTCTTTTTTCCTTGTGTTTTGCTTCTTTGAGGGTCAGTGCGCCCAAACCACCCCATGTTTTGGCATTTTTAAAGAAATTTTCTGCCCTGTTCAGGGCTCCCGGTTCTCCAGCGCTGAGGCCAGCGCAACTCGTCCTGGGGCTGGAGAAGTCGCGGCAGCCGGGCGGGCGCCTGCCGCCTGCGGGGCCGGGACCGGGGCCGCGCGGGTCCCGGGCGCCGACTGCCGCGGCGGCGGGCGGCTCCGGGCGAGGCAAGAGGCCGGGCGGGGAGCGGACGGCGGCGGAGGTCCGCTGCACCGCGCTCCCAGCGGAGCGGCCGGAGACCTCGACTTGGACGCAGGGGGAAGGGAGGAAGCGAAGACTCGGAGGAGACGTCGAGAGAGGGCAGGAAGAAAGGAAAGCCTCGAGGAAGGCGCAAGGAAAGGCGGAGAGGAGTTAGGGAAGGGGCGACGAAGCTGGCGAGGCGGCAGCGGAGGCTGTAAAGGGGAAAAGTTGCGAGAGGAAGGAGGAAGGGAAACCAAGTCCCGGGCGGGGAGAGCGGGCAGCGCGCGGTCGGACGAAGCCGTGGCGGTGGGACGCGCAGAGCCTCCCCAAACCAGTGGCGGAAGAACGCGACCCCGCCGTCCCGCATGACTCCGAAAGCCCCGGGGGGAGCCACCTGGCGGATGTTGGGAACTGGCAACGCACTGAAGCGGCCGGCAGGCTCCCACCGAGGCCGCAGCCCGGGTCCTACGGGACGGATGGGGCTCCGAGCAGCCGGCCCGCGCGGGCCCCGCCGCCGCCTGGCCGCGTCCCGAAGGCAGCGCGCAGCGCTCGCGCCCAGGGCCCCCAGCTCCGGCCCGCTCTGAATCCTAACGGAGGGGCGAGGGGCGGGGGGCGGGGGCGAAAGAGAGAAACTGAGAGACAGGTAGAGAGACACGCAGAGGGAGAGGAGATTCGTCTTTCTGCGAATGAGGACTGGGGTTTTCCTTTCCTCTTTGTGGTTGTGTACTGACTGTAACGAAGAGCCGCGCCTCCGCCTGGTGGGGTTTGTTTCGGTTCGGCCTCCTTTTCTTTCTCTAACAGGCGGGATAATAGCACAGTCCGAGGCACTAGAACTATCCTGAAGAATGTGAGCGCCTGAAGTGGGCATGACACTGGCAGGGATGGGGCCACGGTGTAGACAGCTCGGGGTGTACTTAGAGGGATTTCAGGGGGCTCCAAAAGCAAGCGGGATAAAACTTGTTCTTTGATGATGAAAAGTAAACTGGCTAAATGGGAAAGGAGGGAGGGAGAGAGGAAGAGGGAGGGGTGGAGTGGAAGAGGGAAAGAGAGAAGAGAATAAAGAGGGAGGGAGAGAGGAGAGAGAGACACAGAGAGAGAAAGACTGAGAATATTGCAGGTATTCCTAGCTGCCTAAATTTTCTGCTCAAAAATATAGGAGAACCCGCAGCCCGGTGGAAGGAGCCTATTTAAGTCCGGAGGAAGGTTGAACTTTAACAGAAATGGCAGTCAGGCCAGTCGAACGGGTTCCTGAAACATCCAAAAAGGTTTTCTGTTGCCCCTGGCTTTGCCTGGAAAGGATAAGTTTAGTGTACTTGAAGATTGATTGCATGTATTGTAAATTGAGGTAAAAATCAGACTGTATGAGCACTAAAGAGGGAAAGGCGGCACACGGATGAAAAACCCCGGCTCGCCTCTGTCCTTTAATAAATAAGCATAATCTCCGATATTCAGTGAAAGTCCGCAGACGTCACTGTAAACAACCGGGCCCACCGGGTTACTTTTCTCTCTCCTCCAAATGATGAGGGAACGCCTTTTTATTTTGTTCTTAATCTGCACACAAAGCACCTAGGGCGATCGACTCTTCCCATTAGGAAAGTCCCTCTCCAGGAACAAGGACACCTACGTTCTCTACCAGCCCCCAGCGATGCTCTCCCTCCCTGCCTTGTCCCGGGGAGCAGGGGCTGCTTTACGCGTGTCCCCGGCTCAGTTAATTGAAGTTCTGCCTCTTTCCTGCTAAACTTTTTCCCCAGTCTGCCTTTGCCAGCCCCCTGGTCTGATTACATCTAGTAATTCTCCACTGAATGAACGTCATTTACAATAGTAGGGGAGCTCTGCGCTCGCTGCTGCTTCACGCTCCATTTGTCCTCCATTCTCCCTTTAAAGTACTCGTGTAATATTAATAGTCATGAATATCAATTATTATGAGGCGGTGTAGGCAAGCGGAGGGAGGAAGGGGCGCCTGAGCAGTCTGAGCCCAGCTTCGGGTGGAAGAGGACTGCGTCTGGAGCCCCGAAGAACGGCAGAAGAAAAAAGGCCAAAAAGACAGCAAGAGACGGAGAAACAGCTCTGTCTGTGTGTGACAGGCATCGCCAATCTTGTTTGGGGGGGGGGGGGGGGGGGGGGTAAATTTTTTTTTTTGATGGCTTGTCCTGGAAACACCTCAAGCTCGGCTCCTGTGTCCAGCTCGTTGCTCAGCTGGACTCCTTGATTGTTTTTTTTTAATCATTGTTTGATTTTGAGCAGTAACCAGGCTTTTTTTTCCAGATGTTAGTCCACACCTATTCATCCATGGTGAGTTTGGATTCACGTTGTACCAGAATTGCATGCTCCCTCCTCTCACTGTCTCTCTGTCTCTCTGTCTCTGTGTGTGTGTCTCACTCTGTCTCTGTCTTCCTTTGAGCGCCTTTGGCTTGGTAATTTAGCACCATAATTGGACGAGGCTGCAGCTGCTTCTCTCTGCATTGTGTGTTCTCCCTCTGAGCTCCATGAGTCAGCTGGGGAGGGGGGAGGCCGAACAGGAAAACTTTTTATTTGCCATTGCAGTTTGGAAATTTAGGTGACTATTTCTCCAAAAAGAACCTTGGGGACTTTACCATGGCATTTCCACAGAGGACAGGGAGAAACTTAAACACCCCTCTCATCCACACACCTCCCCCTTCTCCTTTCAGTTGGTTTACCACTCCAGATAGGACCAACAATAAGTTCTCTGGGCTTTTTTCTCTCTCTCGACCCCAGTCCTTCATTTTCACACTCTGGAGTATAATAGCATTAGATATAGAAAAGAAAGCTTAGAAATAACTCCTGTGGACCACAACTCAACTTAATTTAATGTGGGCTCAGGATATGATTTCAAATGAGATGCATTTCAATCAAACACTATTTAAATTATTTAATTCCTCTTGGGGAGGGAGGGGGACTGGGAACTCGTATCAGGCCGATTCCTCGGAGCTCCTGGAATTACCAGGTTGTGTGGGGAGGTCCTGGTTGGCCGCTGGCTTGCCAGTGAAGGCAGAATTTGGTTTGAAACAGGAGGAGCAGCACAGCAAATAGTGTGAAGTTTTATTTGTTATGCTTTGGACGTCTGGAAGAGTTAGAAAAAAATAGTTTAAAGCCCCCAGAAGAGCAAATGCCATCTGTATGACTCCTGTATTTTTGAGTAAGGAATCTAGAATGTCCCTGCAAACACAGCTACTTTACCCTCACTCCTTCTGCCGCTTTGCACTCTCAACAGAGCTCAGATGTTGGTTAAGTGGGTGATTCTCCCCATTTTCCCCCCAAAGCCTCGCGTTTGGAATTGCCGAAATCATGTGCCCTCTGAGTGAACTTGCAGGCTGAGTTTCAGCCTCTTGCTTCCCCTGTCCCGGGAGGAACGTACGGAAGCCGGGCTTCTCCATTTGTCGCTTGTGTTTTTTTTTTTCTTCCCCTTCTCTCTCTCTGTCTCTCTCCTGTCTCCGCTCCCAGGACCGGCACGATGGCGTCCCGAGCCACAGCTCGCGGCTCTCCCAGCTGGGCTCGGTGTCGCAAGGACCTTACTCGAGCGCCCCGCCGCTGTCCCACACCCCGTCGTCAGACTTCCAGCCGCCCTACTTCCCGCCCCCCTATCAACCGCTCCCCTACCACCAGAGCCAGGACCCCTACTCCCACGTCAATGACCCCTACTCCCTGAACCCACTGCACCAGCCCCAGCAGCACCCCTGGGGACAACGGCAGCGGCAAGAAGTGGGTTCAGAAGCCGGCTCTCTCCTGCCCCAGCCTCGGGCCGCCTTGCCCCAGCTCTCGGGCCTGGACCCCCGGAGGGACTACCACTCGGTCCGCCGGCCGGACGTGCTGCTGCATTCGGCGCACCACGGCCTGGATGCGGGCATGGGTGACAGCCTCTCGCTGCACGGCCTCGGCCATCCCGGAATGGAAGACGTCCAGGTAACCACAAACAAACAAACGAAAAAGACAACAAATAAATAACGAGTGTCCCGGGAGAGGGGACGGGTGGGGGAGGGCTAGCTCTGTCTCCTTTGGGAGAGGTAGTTTCCATGTTTAGAACAGGACCAGCTGGACACCACGTATATAACTGTTTATGTGCATACGTGTATGGTCCTATAGTGGCGATTTCTGGAGGTCCAATTACGAAGGCTAGAACCACTAGAAATGAAATCATGAAGGAGAAAAATACATATGCGTGTTTCGATAGTTTAGGATCATCAGAATCAAAGCTAGATGTTTTTGTCTTGCCTTAGCTACCCGACTCCTTCCTATTCTCTTGCGCTTTGTGCGAGCAAGCTGGGTACCCTCCCCAACCCACCCCCGCGCATGTCCCATAATGGGCCTGGCCGGCTGACAGGGCAGGTGAAGACCCGGCCCTAGAGTCTGGGGCTGCAGCACGAGGCGCAGGGTCCTCCGTAGGCTCCAGAGGTTCCTGCTGAATTTGCAATGACTTCCTTAAGCATGACAATGCACCTTGGGAGAAAAGTGTCCGCTATGTTTGTCCAAGTCAGATCTTACTTTGAATGTCTCATACGCTGCAGAACCCTTTCCCAAGATAATTGAGTTCCAGAGTCATCACCCTAGATGTGGAATTTTTGTGGGGAGAGACCCAGAAAGTCCTAATTCTGTTTGGGAGTCCTTGAGGACACATAGCATCTTGGAGATTCTTTTCACCTTTTGGTCCATTACAGGACCATGGTGGATATTCTCCACATCCCTCCCCCTCCATTAATACTCTCCTCTCCTCTCCACCACCCCAGTTAAAGAGGCATGACGTGTTTATTTCTTAAAACAAAAGGCTCCAAACACTCCCCCACCCACCCACTATCCCATCTGCAACCTACACAATGGAGCCTGATTTGGTTGAAAATACTTGTTTAAACTAAACAAAGAAACATCAAAGAAATGATTTCTAAAAACTGTCTGGGTGATTCTGAGCAGGTCTCCTTTTGCTCCCTAATTTAAATAGGCTCCAGAAAAGACAAATATAGTTGAAGCATATTTAATTGACACTTTGGTCTCATTGGCATAGTTGTATATTTCAGGCATCATTTTAGACATGGCTCTGAAGCAAAGGAAAATGAAATGGGAAAGGGAAAAGGGTGTATGCGTCCTTCTTCTTTACCTTGCTGGAAAAAGATGTATTTTGAACAGTTAAAACGTGGTGACAACATCAAATGCTGTCTGTGTGTAGTCTATGATGGTTTGTTGTTTTAAAGAAAATTCAGTTATTAGTTATTTCCAAAAATGATGGAATCACCTGATTTGTGACTGGATTTACCCATAGTAATAAGAAGGATGGTTTTGTTGATTTAACCGAGCTTGACTGTCCCTGTCTAGAGATATTGCTTATTTCAGAATATCATAAGAGAAAGGAAATATTTGTTTTTTTAATGCATTGGGGTAATATGTGTCTGAGGGGGGAGTTTTTAAATTAACCTTTCGGAGTACGGTTCAAAGTGCTAGATAATGAAAGTGGATCGACTCATCACCATTGCGGTTGGCAATGCTAACACCGGCTGTGTCACCATCACCCTGCAGGCCGAGTGGTTCAGGCGGCTGAGCCCAGAAATTCCCCCGAAAGAGGGAACTGATTTCTTGGGTTTTTAATTTTTTTAAAGATAGAATTGTAAGGGGTTTTGAACGTTTGGCCAGACGCAAAGGGCGAGAGAAAAACAGGGCCAGGTTAGCGTGCTTTTGGGAAAACACCGTTGTCAAAGCGTGGTGCGGGCGGCCAAGTTGTTGCCGGGAACACAGACGGCAGAGGAGCAGAGCGCCCAGAGGAGAGAAAGCGCAGGCCCTGGTCCTCGCATGCTCCTTGCCCCCACATCACCTCGGCCCCATTCCTCCCCGAGACCCATCCCAGCCTTCGGGACCTTCTCTGGATGACCCTCAGTGCAAGGGGTCGCGGAGGATACACGGCGCGCCTGTCCCAGGAGGGAAACAACGGCGGCAGGGATGATCTCTGTCTCTGCTGTGATGACAGGCCTCTGAGGCTGGTGTGTGCTTGATGTGACACAGGACAAGTGACAAAGAAAGACAAGGGGAGGAGGTGTACCTAGGACCAGATCTGCGAAACCAGAGGCTGCGCCTCATCTGCTCCATCCGGGAGGATCCACTTCCGAGTTAGGGATCTGGAGCGCGGGGGCTAAAGTTAGAGCAGCGGGTCGGGGTTTCAACATGCCCTGCACTACGGAATGGGCTGGCGGCGCCCGACCGGTCTTTAAAAGGGACCAGAGAGTGCCTAGGCCTGGATCTCAGTCACTTGTTCCATCTCAGGGGCCTAGTGTGTGTTCCAGATCCCCTCTATCCCCACCCCAGCTGAGGACGAGGCAGATCCAGAGGGCGCTGCCAGGCGGGTGGGTCTCACGCGAGGGGTACTCACCTGGCCGAGGGTTGGGGGGGTGGGTGTGTGTGACCCAGACACACACGCGGGGCCACCGCCCCGACCGTGAGAGAGGAGAAGGAGAGCTAATTAACCAAATGCTTCTAATATTTTTTAAATGAAACTATAAAACCCTGTCAATTTCTATTTCAATTTACTCACAGGGGCTATTAAACTAGCAAATCGCTGTTTGGGTTCTGGGTATGCTACATTTCACCCATTGTGTGTGTGTGTGTGTGTGTGAGAGAGAGAGAGAGAGAGAGACAGCTAGAGAGAGAGAGAGAGACAGCTAGAGAGAGAGAGCGCGCGGGGGGCAGTGCTAAAAACTCAGGAAAACAGCATCAGAGAGAGAATGAAATGACACCTAGTTTGGAGTTTGTTTAGTTGCCGAGAACACCTCTTTTCTTCTTCCCATCTTTGCTCTCTAACCTCTCCTCACCTCTACCACCCACGAGTATAAACATAGAAGGATGTTAAGTCAACCCCCCAACACACACACACAGAAACACACACACACTCAAACACACCCTAGTGTCTTAAAGCAACCCCTGGTATCACTTTTAACTAAAGAAGTCTAGTAATTACGAGTCTGAGTTGTTTTTCTGCGCTTCCGCATGCAGTCCTAATTAAATCTTTACGATCCTCCCTGTGACGATTAAGCGCCAGCATGCTGCGTGAATATCCTGTACAAAAACCCAGCAGGCGGCCGTAATTAGATAGAAAATCAGACAAGAGCCTTCTCATTAACTACCACAACTACCCCACGTCGCTGATGAGGCGTATATACATATTTACGTACCGACGTGAGGGTGAGGTGTGGGGGCACACGGTCCTGGCCCGCGAGACCGCGGGTCTGCTTGCCCACAGACACGGGCGAATTATGCTGTCCTGCGTGGACACATCGCCACTGTAGACACGTGAGCATAGAAAGGAGTGAATAGTGTGTGCGCGCGCGTGTGCGCGGTGGGGTCTCCTGAGGAGTTTGGAACAAGTTACATGAAGTACTTTTTTAAAAAAAGCTTTTTACCATTTATTAAGACGTATATGGCATGTTGCAATATGGAAAATGGTTCTTACGGAGAATAACAATTTTCCTCACCTTTCTGAGATCAGAAGAGTGATTATTAAAAACTAAAAGAAACAAATTAACGTGCCTCCGTCCATGATGAGATCATCTCATTTCTAATGTGCTGCTCATTTGGGGGAGGCAGTCTCTCCCCTGTGATGAACACACACCCTGTCTGAGGATACAGCATGAGTGGGAGGGAGGTGCTGTGAAAACACAACCTCACTCTGGAGCCCTTTGCTTTTGATGTCCCTGTAGAGTGGGTGACAAATTGGTCCAAACTTACATTTCTAAGGATCAAGGAACCCAGCTGTACATTTCAGAAAGACCTGGCCTTTCTTTTCCTTGGGAGGGAGTGGGAGGAAATCCACTGCTTTGGGATGCCCTGGGATGCACAGCCAGAACTCTGTTCTCTGCATCCTGACAGTAAGCAACTCATTCCAACAGCTCTTTCCTTCAGAAGTGCTGCCAAAACCCAGGGTTGAGACTTTCCTTCTCTGGGATGAAACTGCGGCACAGAAGACTGAATGCTCCTCCCCATTACCTAGGTGCTGACTGGGAGGATCCAGGCCTCTATGTCTGTCTGTGTGTCTGTAGTGACTGCTTTCCTAACAGGTGTGCTCCTTGCTGGGAAGCAGCAGCAGCAGGGTTGGGAGGGGGAGCAAACTGTGCAGGTTCCTCCGAGGGATTGTGGCTGCGTATCAAGAAGTACATAGCACACAGGGATGTGTATAGACTACAGTGGGTGTGCAATCCTGGTGGCATGCAAACGGGTTCCTGTGTGTTGCTGTTTGCATTCCATCCCAAATTGCTCAGACTTTAATTAAAATCCTATAATGTAAACTATTATGTATTTGTAAAATGACTCTGGGGTTAAGATGCACTGGGATAGAAAACAGAAATTGCTCTTACTAATATTGGTGAAATTCTTTCAGCTCATGCCAGATCTTCACAATTCATAAGAGCAAATAATATAAAATTTATATGTCTATGTAATATCTATGTTTAATATAATAACTAAACCAATACTGCATCCAAGATGTCTGTCACAGTTTCCTTTTTCCTCTTCTTCCATTGGAAGAATTTATAATTTGGGTGAATTTCATTTCTATGTTGATTTGGAGGTAATAATGATAATAATAAAACCTCCCTTTGTGAATTAATATAAATGGAAATAACAGAAACTCCAGTTTGGAATGACATGATTTATGTGTGTGATTCTTTAATATCCAGTCAATTTGAATAGTGATGTTTTTATATTCACAGTCAGTTGAAGATGCCAATAACAGCGGCATGAATCTATTGGACCAGTCTGTCATAAAAAAAGGTATGGATTATTCCCCCCAAAAGTAAGCAAAGTTTTCCTATGCATTCATGTCTTGATGATGAGTTTTCACTTTGGGTTATTTATTATTTTACAGAACACAAATGTTTGTTTGCAATCGCAGGACAGTGGCTGTCTGGGTGAACAGGCATGCGGGGAAGAAGAAAATGGGGGCAGAGGGGGGAGGACCATAGGCAGAACCCCGGATGAGAGAGACAGAGGGAGACTATTGCCATTTTTTTCTCATGGTACGTTTGGTAGCGATTCTAGAGACATCTTAAATAATTGAACTACCATCATGTATGGAACTGGCTGGGCAACACTGCTCCCAAAAATGCGCTATAATTATTTCATTGATAACTGGAGTTTGCTGAGCTAAAGCCTAGTCATTGAGACTGCTCCGTCTCTCCTTGTTTTTGTATTTGATTTTTTGGTGGTAATTTTGTTCCCAGTTCTCTATGTTTTATGAGTTGTTTCTGGTTATTTTTTTAAATTGTGCCAAATGTGTTGCTAAATATGCGCATCCTGAGAAGCTGAGGCAGCCTATGCACATTTCTAAATCTTCCTACATACGCATTCGTGATTTAGTAGGACTGAGGAATCACCCCATACTGTTAAAGGGCATGTGATATTAACAAATGTTTGCAGTCTCTTGTACAGCTGTAAGCAAAATAATTAACTAATTAAACTAATTAAATGTAATTACAATAACTCATTTCGGGCGTATGCAGCTGCTTAATTTTTCCCCCTCTTCTCCGACAGTCACTGGGAGAATGTCTGGCGATTAGTGTGGCTGCTGAAAGGCCCGAATGTCACTCACATGCCACAAATTTAGGAGCTTAAACGTAAACAGCGCAACCTTTAATTATTGCAAGAACTGGTATTTGGAGATACAGTTTTAACTACTGTAACCCTTTCTTATCGATTCTGGCAAAAGGCATGTCCTTATGTTTGGTGTCACTTATGTCATTTATGGTTTGTTTGAGCCACGACATTCTCAAAAACAATTAAAAGAAAAAGATGCTTTGGAAAGTAATCCAGAGTCAAGCTGTCAAGTAGGAAGACTGAAGTAAGGATTCCAAACAGGGTGACGTGACGTGTTCTAAATTTTCTTCTTTTACAAATGCAGAAAAAGTAGTTTTGAGAGGTAGAAAGTGGGAGGGGGAAGCTGCCCTTGAAATGATGCCATTTGGCTTTGTAATGTAATATCCTGAAGAAGAATAGTGAGGTTTGGGGCAAAACTATTTATTTTCAGTGTTGCGCCAAATGTCTCTCCCTCTCTTCTTTAGATAGTATCATTTTGGTTTTTATGCCGGCTTTTGGGTTTCCTCAGATACCCGGGCTCCTGGTTTAGATTTGCAACTGTGCTGACAGCTCACTTTCACCATTTCCTCTTGGGTCTTCTCTTTTAGTTAATTGCTGGCTGATGGAGGTGGTGAGGGGGGGTAAAAGGGAGGTGCTCCTCCATTGGCTTTTTTTGTTTCTTTTTTGTTTTAGTTCCCCCTCCCTTTTCATGGAAAGCTAGAACCCCTCAGCTCAGAGTTCTGTATTCTAGAAACAGCATTTGGGCTGGCAGTGGGGCATAGCCAACAGATGACCAATCAGAAATGCTCTTAGCAGCAAGGCCAGTAAAAATATTTGAAACTTAGTTTGCCTAACAAATGGAGCTGAAATATTCTTAGATGTGAGATGCTTTGGTTTCAGGGCTTGTATATGTTTGTAGTGAAATCTGAATATTTCTGTGTAAGGGATTCTCCAGGAAGAAGAAAAAGAGAATATTGATTAAAGTTGCTGGTTCTGTTTTGGAAACATGGAGTACTTTTTATGGTCCCCAAACTTTTTAAAAAAATGTGTGGCTTAAAACATCTATGTGGTATCCCAGTCACTTTATCGATTTAGGGGGCGTGGCTATGAATATGAAGTGTTAGGTCAATTCCATTATTTAATATTTCAGTTATTTGTTTTATTACATGAAGAAAAGATCCTAATACCCTACTTCTATCTTTAGAGGGCCATGGGCAAAATGGGAATAAGTAGTGGCTTTATTTTTCTAGATCACTATGAACCACTTAAAATAAGGCCATGGGTTCATTAGCTCCTTCGCTGCCCCCTGGTCTCCCATCTTTGTCTCCTCCCCCACCTTTATGAGGAGTGTCTCTAAGAGATTAATTTCGTAAAAGAGGAGGTGAGAAAGTTTTCTGAACTAAATACTCTAAATTTCAACAACTGGCAGGGGACTCAATTGCTTAATGTATTTTCTACGGGGCTTTAGAGAGATTTTTAAAATTCTACCTCATTAATAAAAGTGCAGCAACTGGACTCAGTTCAGGTGTGTCTGCCTCTCCATAGATTGAAGCCAAAAGACTCTGGCATAAAGGATCTATGTCTTTATGTCTCTCTCTCTCTCTCTAATTATGGAAGGGCTCCCTCCTAAAATTTAACCAGTCCAATTTTTCACCCGTGTTGTTATCACCCATAGATTATAGGCTAGCTCTCTTGTTATGTTTGCTATCTGGGCTTAGCTGACATTTCTGAAGTAATTTAGTTAAGAGGAAATGAGTTGTTCCCAGTAGAGAGAGCAAACGAGTGGAGTGAAGGTAGCCAGCGTGATAAATGGCTCTTTCATTTGAAGATCTCCAGAGCTCGTTTACGGCTAATTTTCTGTATTGGCCCCCTTTGAGCTATTAATGCAATCGGCAGGGACCGTGGCCCCTCTCCTCTTAGCTGCCCCATTAGAGCTCCCATTAAGCCTCCCGGTCTCAACTCCATGGCGGGAGTGGGGGGAGTAATGAAAGGTGCTTTTTAAACTCTCCTAATCTAAACCGGCAGAGGGTGGTTAATACGATTTGAAGGGGGCTGGTCAATGAGCAATCAATAAAGTAATAATGAGAAGGATTCGGTACATTAACAGTGTAAAAATCCAACGAGACATTAAAAAATCATTCTGAACTCTCAGTTCCATTAAGATTAGGAATCTAGGCCGGGAGGGGGTGGGGTGGTGCCCAGCTAATAATGATCACTGCCACCATCCTACAGCCTAACTGAAAAAAGGCTCACCTAGGCTTGAAGAAGTTGTTTTTGGTGCAATCAGAGGCCAACGTGCAGTTGGTTTGACACCTAACACAGCAGAAAACATGCTGAGATTTCTTGGAAAGGCTAGCGTGGCTGGAGTCCCAGGTTCAAATGTTGTGACTGTGGGGCATTTTCATTGGTCTTAGGGATATCCTGTTGGGTTAGTTTCAGTTCAGCCTCCATTCTCTCCCACTTTTTTTGTGTTAGTTCTGGCCCCCTCCCCACAGAAACGCTTTGATTGGTGTGGATTCTTTTGGGGGGTGGGGGGTAAATAAATTGCCAATTTCAATGACAATGGGTTCTGTTGGGATTCTTCCTTCTGACCTAGAAGGTTAAAAGCATCGCGTCTTGTCAGAGCCTCTGAAAGGGTATAAGTTTCCTCTCAAAGGAAGAGGTTCACATTTCTAGAACTGACTTGGATTCCAATAGGTATGTCTTCAACTAGAGACTCTGAGATACATTCCAGCCACCCAGGGAGTAATCAGAGTTCACAGAATTTCGAAGCTGGGAAGGGTAGACACTCTTCTCCAGCGCCCACCCCCACCCTCCAGTGTAGAAACCGAGACAGAAGATAAGTGACTTTCTCAAGACCCTACATGTCCAGTAAGTGATGGGTCCCAACTCAGTGTCCAGTCTCTTAGAGTTTGCCCCTAAAGGATACCAACACTGGATGTTTGTAGTTTTTATGTTCTAGCATCCTTTGTGGAATACTTTTATTTTTCTTTCCAGACTTTCAGTGCTCACACTTATGCATGTGCTATATATACATGTGGAATAACATTTAGCCCTCAGTTAGATGACAAACAGTGCAAGTAGGAGGAAAGGGGTGCTCTGCTGGTGAGAATTATTTCAAGCAATGCTCAACCTCCTGTTGGTTTCCCGCTGTAGTTTACATATTTAAGTCCGAGTACCTGTCAGAGGGACTTACCCTTGAATCTGTTAGATGCATTCATGTCTTCCCTTCTCCCCCAGCAGCAGATCAGACCCACAGAGGGTCTGTTTCCAGTCAAACACAGGATCTCAAAGCTACAGTTTCCCACATAAAAAGAGTACAGATTAAGAACTGGCCTATTAACACTGTAGCTCTACATATTCCACTAATGAATAATATTTTCTCTAATCACTTTTCCTTCCTCTCTCTTAAATAACACTCCAGTCACTGTAATGAAATATTGATCGGTTTTTAAACCTTTTTTCTTCTCCCCAATGAAATGCACGGAAAAGTGGAAGGCAGCAAGTTTTTCGAGTGTTATATCCAGAAGTTGGCCCATGCCATCCAAGTGAGAACGGAAGAGAAGAAAAAACCCACCCAGTTTTAATGTATGCACAGAAAATTGTAAACATGTAAAGAACTGAAAGCTTCACGCTGAGTTTTGCCATGCTCCATTTCCTTACCATTTCCTGCTGTCGCTTTCAACCTATCTTAGTCATCTCTGGGTTCTGTGAGCAGGAACAGTGCGCTCATAATTACTAACAAATCAACCGGGCCCTGTTGCTCTCTGGGTTTATTGATAAGCTGGAGGAAAGCAGAAGGGAAAAGACAAAGAGAATAAAATATGGGGTTAATCAGCTGAGCTAAGCAGGTGTGAGAGCAGACGGGAAGGTGAATGAGAACAGTGCTGTGGACGTAAAGGAAAGTCGGGACAAGAAATGTGTAGGGTCTTGTCCAGGGGACCACTACCAAGGCCAGAATGGGAGACAGGTTTAGAACCTGAGGATGAGAGAGTAGCGAGTGGGTACGCGATTGATATTTCAATTAGAAAATGGGAATAAAATCTGAAGCCAGTCTGCTCAAATAGTCTGCGTCTTTGGGTGGGGGGGGGGAGGAACTCTCCTCAGACAGCAGTGTGCTGACAGCAGCTGACTGGATTGGTGATATTTAGGTGATAATGTATATGCAGAAAGGTACAGCCCATGGGAGGGAGCAATATACATTCCCCAAAGGAAACAACTCTTGTTGGGTAAGTCAGGCAATTAACAATAGTGAAATTAGAGGGCAGGTTATAAGGCGTCTCTAAGGGCCTGGCTTTTCAAGAGATTTGGCATCTGGGACTGTGAGAAGCAGGTGAAATTCCAATCCTCAGGAGATATTCGGTTATGCAGGACTGCAAATAGGATCTGAACTTATTATTTTCAGCTTAGTGGGCTTTTTTTTTCCTGTTAAAATATTATTTCTAAGTAGTATTTAAATATAAAAATGTTGCTGAGTATCAAAGATTAGCTTTTTATCAATTTCTATAGTTCATACCATGTTAAAACTACAAAGGGCCATCTATATTTTGGGGGAAAGCTTTTCCAAGGTTATCTAATGCCAATTCCCATGAGCATAAATTATTTGTTTATAGAGCTTGAATATGAATCTGAAATATGGAAATCAGGACTGCTGTGAAGAATAAGATAGATTAAAATAGATTGGATGATGTGTAAGAGAATTAAATGACAGGGTGTTCCAACGCCAACCACTGTCTGCTAAGTGACTTTAACTCCATATTTTACTCACATTTAATTAATATTCACACTTCAGCTTTTCATTGGTTTTCTCTCAAATGAGAAGTTGCTTTCATCTGCCCTGAGACAAGGTCTTGGACTCCCTAGATGGATCCAGAAATCCTAAAATGTCCACTAAGAAGTAGCAAAAGGGAATGCTTCAGTCCTGCCCTCCACTCCCCAAGGAGAGCCCTTTTTCCACAAGGTGTTTGTAAAGGGCCAAATGCGATGGATAGTAAATAAAAGATTTGGGACCTACCCGGCTTTTAGGAGTCTCTAACTGATTGTGGAGGTCTGAATGCTGGAATCTGGTAGAGGGAATAAGATGTTACAAAAATACTCAGTGTCGGTTAGTCTGTTCTGTATAGAGGTTATACAACTTGTTTAACAAGGTTATGCAACTCATTTGACATATAGAGTTCCAGGGTCCGGATGGTAGAAATAGCATTTCTTTCCCCCACCAGAATTCTAGGGTGAGACACAGTCTTTATTAAAGAGGAAGAACGGAAGCCTCCTTCTTCATGCCGGATGCATGTTCCAATAAATCCTCTGGAATGAGGATTGACAAATACTGTTTGAAGATTTGGGGGCTCCATATCCCAGTGGAAGAAGCTAAGGTGTAGGGCAAGTCAGGAGGAGAAGTCACCTGCCCAGTGGCTTCTGGAGCCTGCAGAAAGAAAATGGGCTTCAGCAGTGTAGAAGTCCAAGGAAGCGAGAGTGCCAGGGGGCTGGGAGGTTGACCATTCACTGTTCTCATTCCCTGCCTTCTGGTTCTACTGAGCCCCGCCTCTTCCTGAGGTGCAGATGATACTGAAACACAATTAAACAGAAATACAGGCTGGAGAGACTGAATATGCCTGGGTAGCAGTGGCAACCAGCTGTCAGCTCTTATTAACTTCTGCATAAAACATACCTTGAGTGCGGTTTGTTATCAATTACTTGCTGAAATGAAACAACTGGGGCAAGGCAAGACCACCGCTCACATGAATTAGAGTGATTGGTTGATTGATCAGGGCACCTGTTGTAAATCATAACTGCTCCAAACAATCACCAGCCGGTGCTTTACGTTAATTTGTAAACAAAATTCATATCACTGCGGAATTGCTTTCAGTGGAGAGGAGCATTTGGGTTCATTTCTAAATTAATCTGTTGTTATGATGAAGGAAAGAATGGGATCCGCTTTACAGAAGTGAGCAGCTCTTTTGGGCTCAACTCCCCAGCTTAATGGTATTACTTGGCTGTTCTTGGGCACAATGTCTGATGGGCCCCACCCTCCTAATCCTGGTCATGCCCGTAGATTTGGGTACAATAGGAGAGGAGGAAAGGGTTCCCATAAAGACCATTGGTATCACCATTTGATATCATTGATAGTGATAATCACCTTCAGGCTTCAGTACCAAATATCATTATTCTCAGGAGACAGATGAGGAAACTGAGAATCAGAGAGGTTCAGTGAGATGTCTAAGGTCACACAGCAAGCACGTGATGGAATAGGATTTGCCTGGTTTCACAGCACACTCGAAACTCCGGGTCGTGCGTTTTCTTGATTTGTGTAGTGAGCGGGACGGTGGCAAGCGATACTCATATGTCTACACACTTGGGGTAAGTTTCCAGAGGAGCGATGGCTTTTCCATTTGTTTGTACACGGTGCTTTGAACGCACCACAACCCCAGTGGAACAAACACTTCCTCCTGCAGCTTTCCACTTGGCGCCTGTCCTGTGATCTCGGCCCTGCGCACGCACCGATACATTCTATCAGCCGGTCACCAGGCTCGAAGCCCGGTCACCTTTATGGCATATTTTTTTCTCTCTCTAGTTCCGGTTCCTCCCAAATCTGTGACTTCCCTGATGATGAATAAAGATGGCTTCCTGGGAGGCATGTCCGTCAACACCGGCGAAGTGTTTTGCTCAGTCCCGGGCCGTTTGTCTCTGCTCAGTTCCACGTCAAAGTACAAAGTAACTGTGGGGGAAGTTCAGAGACGGCTTTCGCCCCCTGAATGCCTCAACGCGTCTCTCCTCGGCGGCGTCCTCAGAAGGTAAAACCCCGCACACCATTTTTTATGGGGTGAGAGGAGAGGCTCGCACGGACACCAACGCCTAGCCGGACGCGGTTGCCTAGCAACCAGGCTGCCGGAGCGCTGCCCCAGCGCAGCGATGGGGCGATGGGGAAATCCCGGTTCCCCACGTGCTCCAGGCGGCGCAGGCGAACGGCGGGGACCCCCGCGCCCTCGCTGTCCCGCCCGCCCTGCTGCCCTGGGACCCTTCCACTTCCCCTGCCCTGCGCCCGGCGCCCCGCGCCCTCCCACCCACAGGACACTTCGAGGGCATGCTCAAACCTGAGTGAGACCCAGAATCTACACACTTATCTACAGCTGAATTTTCATGGAGCATCTCCCTTCGTACCTGCAGTGTACTCTGATATTTATTTTGTTTTAAAATATAGTTGGCGGCCGACTAAGTTGGTCACGACACACTAATGCCTTGTGCCCCGCAGTTTGAAAATAACTATTTAGACTAATGACCTCCTTCCTTCGGTACTACCAATAACAATGATACTACTTTAGAAATATGAATAGTTATTCCTTGGGACCGTTCATATGCTACCCAGGATTGGAAGAAGACAATCCGAGACTCCTCGTGGAAAATGGGAAGAAGGAAGTGGCTTTTAGCTTAACATACACAGCCTCCTCCCAGGTCCCTGCCACTGCCTGAACCCTTTGGTAGTGTCCTTGATATGAAGGTGACATTGTATGAGATGAACTTTTCCAGTTAGCCTATTTCGGGGTTGAAAATGCCTTTCTTTCCTAAAAGTGGCTGTGTGAACAGTACAGCAAGAGGTCATAGTAACGGGGTTTTTTCTTATATTTTTGCCCAGACCTTAGCACCTACAGGGAGAGCCTTGGGAGGAAGTAAGGGTGTGACCAGGGACTTTTCTCACTTGGAATCCTCTTGCTCTGCTCTACCTTGGGTCAGTTTTCAAGTGAGTCCTTCGAGCCCCAGAGTGCGGAAGTTTCTTTCAGTCACCCCTGGGCACTGAGGGTATATGTGTGTGTGTGTGTGTGTGTGTGTGTATAAAACTTGCAATGAGATTAAGTGAGATAGTATAAAGTGCTTATCACATAACTAAAGTCCCTAAAGTGTTAGTTTTCCTGTTATTATGATTACCGTCATTACTGGTTTCATGTTTCAGTCTCCCTTTCCCCTTTTAACCCAACTCCATTTTATAGTGACTCTTGACCCCTTCCTCGAAAAGCCCACCTATTCCAGCTAGTGCTTTCTCCTTTTGGAACCATCCAGTTCTTTCCCTCTTTTCAGCAAGGTTGTGCTTGCAGCTTCTGCTCACCTAACTGGCTCCATGACAAGAAGAGGGCTTGTGTGTGTGCATGTGCAACTTCTGCCTTCTCTGGACCCACAACCTACACCCTAATTATTCCCATCTGGTATCATTTTTTTTTCTCATGAGATAAAAAAAGAAAACAACTGAGATTTTTTTTTTTTATGCTCTGTATTGCAGAAATTAAGCAAACCTCAGCAAACTATCAGCAAATAACCAAAAGGAAGGGGGGAAAATGTGCTAACCTCAAGTTAAAACCTCTTCAAGCTCCACTGGGCTTTAGATTGCTAAGTCTAAACTTTGTTTCAGGAACACTCTGAGGTTAATCAGAATGTTAATTCTTGCAATTTCAGAGCCAAATCGAAAAATGGGGGGAGATCTTTGCGAGAAAGGCTAGAAAAAATCGGTTTGAATTTACCCGCGGGCAGGCGCAAAGCAGCAAATGTCACGTTACTCACCTCCCTGGTGGAAGGTAAGCAAGACGTGTGGCCATTTCACGAAGTGGCTGAGCTTAACTGTCGGCTGAAGGCTGACATTTTACACGTTTCATGATTAACTGGAAATCATTGCAATTGTTGTGCCCTTATGAGCTGGATGTCAAGCAGCTGCTTGAGAGAAGTTCAAAGGTCGTTTTACTTAGGGGGAGCTGGCAATTGTAGAGAGGCCAAGGGACTTGTGTGAGAGTCCCTTTGCTCTGAAGAGTGCTCAGGTCCAGCCTCCAAGCCAGTTCAGGGGTCACCTCTGCCGCCAGGTGTAGGGCACAGTGTCTGAAACACCCTCCTGCAACAGTCACTCTGTAAGCAGCAATCCATTCTATACCCTTCTCCTTCCCAGATTTTACCTCTGAATCATCAGTAGTGGGAAATGCATTGTGGATTTATGAAACTGTTATTGCGTTGATGACCCCTATTGGTTATTTTAAAACTCCTGTCACACCCAGGGCCCTATCTTCTGCTGATTACCTGGGACTTATTGTTATTGAAATATAGTTTAATAAGGCCAATGATGCCTAGGAGAAAACTGGGGGTGGTGTGAGGAAACATGAAAGGAGTCACATATGACCTTCAACGTAGATTGGTCAATTGTGAATTAAAGGGCCATAATTATAACAAGCAAAATCTAATTTTCTCATCATTTGGGGGCTGGCGATGATATTTATGGTATGTAATAAACAGGATCTTCTACACAATCTAGAATAAGAGGATCTGCGGTTGAATCTGTGGGATGGAGAAGGGAGAGGAAATACGGTTAGGTAGCGGTCCTAATGAAGGAAGTTGTAGAGTTTTCTGTAGAAAACTCTAACGTGTAGGTCTTGGTTTTCTATTCTATTTTTGTGGATGTGATATTATGACACTCCTGTGGGGAGTTGGTTTTTGAAGGAGAGGATCTTAGAATATTTAAGCAGCAACTGGGAAGTCATCACATTTATAGGTATTGCACTTTGCCATCTTTAAGGTAGAGTTCCCTGGCCCAAACTCACCCTTCAGGGACCGCAGTCACCAAATTTCCAGACCACACTTATTAGCGGTTGATTCTCTTCTTGGAGGTTTTGCTTTTTGCCCTTCAGGGAATTGCTAATATCACAATCCCTCATTTGGAAAAGCAGTCAAGGTAATCTCAGCCCAAGACAGGGATTTGGGTGGAGAAGGGAGGAAACTGGAAAATCCACTGAAAGTCCAATATTTGGTTGGCAGTTTCCAGTTTTGTGAATTGTTCTAAGCACCATGCCTGAAGTCTGTTGTTGTTACTATGATGATGATTAAAAGTAAGTCATGCTTAAAATAATGTAGCTATGGGATAAATCAACATATCCCTTTTTTATGTTCAGGATCTTCCCTTGAGCCCTAAGGCTGCGCTTTAAGGGTAATAGTGCTTTGTTCGAAAGGGGCTTCCACATAAGCTGGGAAATCTCTCAGATGTCCAGGTTTTCTGTAGCTGCTGTGTCATCTTTGCGTAGTAGAAAGTCCTTAAGTAGGAGGCTGATGACAGGAACCTCTGAACAGGAGAAACCTGAAACCTAACTAGCAGGAAACTAACAAGAAGAATAAATATTTCAATGCTGGATAGAAATACTAGTTCCATATATGAATATTCATATGTGAGTTCCAAATACATGTTTTACATATACGTTTAATATATGTGGACATAGACACATGGATTTATGTTTGCACATACTAGTTATTAAAAAGAGATTTTTCCTAATACAATTATAGGAAGGTACAAAAGATAACACAAAAGATAGGAAGACTTTTAAATTTTATTTAAAGCAGGTCTAACAGATGCTTTAAAAAGAAGGGGAGAATGTGGCTTGAATATCCAGCCAACTGTCTATGTGCTTGCAAGGTGGCTCCTGACTATATCAACCCACCTTTCCCTTAAGACAAAGCATGAGTGTGGGAGACACAAAGCTATTCAGGTGATGTCTAGCTAGGACTTGGCTGGAAGGATGATCAAGGAGAGGCTGGAAAGAGTGGCAGGAGCAAAGTTTGTTCCATCAACTTTAATTATGGCCTGAGAATCATTTTTACTTTGGACATCTGTCTCAACTTTGCTTTTGCCTCTAAACGCTGGCCTTTTCTGTAAATAATGACAGAGTTGACTAGGGAGCATCATCCTGCTCTGGGATCATTAGGAACTGGGTGCTGAGTATTACCTCTGCTGCTGTCTTTTCAGGAGAAGCTGTTCACTTAGCTCGGGATTTTGGGTACATTTGTGAAACGGAGTTTCCAGCCAAAGCTGTTTCTGAGTATTTGAACCGGCAGCACACGGACCCCAGTGACCTGCACTCCCGAAAGAATATGCTACTGGCCACCAAGTGAGTGTCCCAGACCCTCGGCCATCATCCCTGACTCTTAGCCCGCTGAGCCACCTGGCTGGGGAGGAGGCGGTGGGGGTGGGGAGCAGCTATGCCGACCTGCTCTGTGGGTCAGGGGAGGAGCTCAGCGGTAGAAGCAGCGTATGCAGCTTGTCCTCTGCTGGCTAGGAAGCCCTCCCAGCTCCCGCCGCTGCCACTCCTCTTTCCACCCCTCCCCAGAGTTGATTATGGGCTATGGGTTTGTCTCTGTCTCCTCTGCTCTATTTCCAAGTTTCTGGGGAGGATGTCTTTATTAATCTGAATCCAGAGTTTTTAAAGTTCTCTTCCCCAACCCTGCGGATGTCAGGAAGACCTTTTCGGGTGGGTCCTTGTTCGATTCCTTCCCTGGATCCCTAAGTGCATATTTCTGTCCAGGTTTCACATCTCCCTGTCGTATCCACACGCCCACGTGTGCTCGCTCAGGGTGTCTATATGTCACCCACGTGTACCCATCTTTACCCGCAGCTCTAATTACTCTCTTTCCAACGTTGCTGTTTGGCATCTTCCACAGACGAAAAATTTACTACAACTCCAGAGGGGAAAATAGTAAATCTTTGGCTAAATTTAGGTCCAGAGCTCATTTGAACTTTTACAGTGGGTTTTCTATTTATTTGATTTACTCCTGTCTTTGGCTTCGATGTCATATTGTTGGTGTTTTATGGCCGGCTCAGGCCTGCAGTGGGCGGCGCTGCGCGCGCCCGCACGTTTCTCTCGCAGGCAGGCGCGGCCCAAACAGCGGCGCTCATTTATTTAGCGCTTGAGGACGGGTTTGTTCCGTTGACAGCGTAATTTAAAGAAATATATGGAAGGCTGAAAAATCATTTGCTCAAATTTGTCCAGATGTTTTTGAGACGTGATTGGAATTTGATTGCCCCTTTCCACAGGGTCAAAAAATATTAATGCCCCAGAACTTTAATTGCTTGCAGACCCTGGTTTGGGCTTTGAAGATTTAAAATGTTTGACTCTAAGCATTTGTTCTCCCCAGTTCAGAATTTCCTTTTTGGCACTTTGGTAATGAGTACAAACTTAAGGAAAGACTTTAAGCATCTCTTCCAATGATTAAAACCTGGCACTCACCTCTTTTTAGAAGGTTTCCCTCTGATGTACCAACTAGCAATATAATATATCTTTGTCAGTAAATTGCCCTCCCATCCCTTGCCCTGATGTCTGGCAGCAGAGGACCTGTTGGTGCTTTATAAAGGAGTAAAGGGGGCCGGCCAGTGGCACGGCGGTTGAGTGCGCACGTTCTGCTTCAGTGGCCTGGGGTTCCTGTTCGGATCCCGGGTGCAGACATGGCACCGCTTGGCACGCCATGCTGTAGTAGGTGTCCTACATATAAAGTGGAGGAAGATGGGCATGGATGTTAGCTCAGGGCCAGTCTTCCCCAGCAAAAAGAGGAGGATTGGCAGCAGTTAGCTCAGGGCTAATCTTCCTCAAAAATAAATAAATAAATAAAAATAAAAAAAATAAAAGGGTAAAGGTACTTTGGAGGAAAAATAAAGCCAAAGCATATAAATTAAATAACAAGATTCCACAAATGACTCAGTCCTTCCCCTAAGGAATGCTTGTAACTTCCCCCCTTGAAGCCTTGTGGCTTCTCTTAGGCCAACACTTATTAACCTGGGGTGAGTATCAGAATCACCTGGGGAGCTTTTTCAAGATATTTATTTGTGGACCTAGCCCCAACTCCCCTGAATTGGACTCCGCAGGGATGGAGTCCTGGATGTGTGCACTTGAACCCCACAGGTGATTCTGAGGTACTTCAGGCTTAAAGAGCTGCCCTTTTTAGGTCAGAAGTGTTACCTGTTTCTTCCCAACTGTGAAGAGATATGTGTACATTTCGAATGGAGAAACTAGTAGAGAGATGGTAGAGAGAGGATGTCTGTCAATGTGCTGTACCCACCAGTCTTAAAACGAAAACCCTCTGAGCTGCTGCGGGTGAGGGGGGAGGAGGTAGGAGGTATTCTCCGTCTAATTTAGCCACTACTCCTCCTGGTAGGAATCCCCTGGGTCCCTCATATTGGCCTCCAGGTACCTGCCCTGTTTACTTGTTGGCCAGGCCAGGTGTCACCAAGTGTCAGGCCATCCCAGGGGGGCCCAGGACTGGAGTTCTGTAGTTTTTTCCTCACAGCCTGGGTGGAGGCAGGTTGGCAGGAGAAGTCTGCCAGTCTGTGAAGGGTTGTGGCTTTGGGCGGTCATGCTTCTGGCCACCAGCAGAAGCAAGCCATTGGACCTTCCGGGTGAAAACCCTCCTGTCCACCTCCTATATTAACAATTTTTCAAAAACCTCAATCCATATATAGGCACGCAGGATTTCTAAGGCTGGGAGATTCCTCTAAATCGTAGGTGCCTTGAGGAAACAAAAACCTTCAACAAATAAAAAATCTATCCTCCCCAGTGTCTTAACCATCTACCTTTAGGTTTTATTTAAACAATGTGGGAATCCTTTTATATTGACAACAGTCCTGTTGTACAAAGATTTTCGGTAGCCTGCACTTAAAAGAAAGAAAGAAAAAAGGGGGCGAATACCTCCCTCCCCAAATACTGCAGGTAAACAGATTTTTGCTTTGAATGGAATCAGCATTCTCTCCTGGAATAAACAGTGGCTTGCCCTGGGCCATGGAAGGCTCTGGCAATCTGCTTCTGTGCCAGGGACAGGCTTGTGGCCCAAGGGCCTAACTCTTTCAGGGCTTTTCGAGCCTGATCACCAAGAGGTTGGAGAGGCTGGGGAGAGGCGGGGGAAGGGGCTTAGAAAAGAACTGCCAGGTAAGAGCTCAAAATTACTGAATATTCAAAATCAAACACTAAAGCCAAGCGGATTTCCCTGAGCAGGTTTCTGTGGTCCTGGAATGAAGTGGGGAAGACTGGAAGCCGGAGGGGTGGGGGGCGGGGAAGGCAAGGCTTTGGGATGGAAGTGGTACAGAACCTCCCCACCCCGGCTTTTCTTCCAGTCCCAGCTGCTCCAGAAGGGAGAGCGCTGGCAAAGGAAACAGAGCGGAATCGCCCACATTAGCCTCGCTCTTCGGCTCTCCGGTGACCGGGCGCCTCTGGGCTTGTGTGAGCGTCTCCTATCTAATGCCAATGACAACGGGCACTGAGGGTGATTTTTTGTTCTTTTCCCGACCCTTTGCAGGCAACTTTGTAAAGAATTTACGGATCTGCTGGCGCAGGACCGGACGCCAATCGGGAACAGCCGGCCCAGCCCCATCCTGGAGCCGGGGATCCAGAGCTGCCTCACGCACTTCAGCCTCATCACGCACGGCTTCGGCGCCCCGGCCATTTGCGCCGCGCTCACGGCCCTGCAGAACTATCTCACCGAGGCGCTCAAAGGCATGGACAAGATGTTCTTGAACAACACCACCACTAACAGGCACACGTCTGGGGAAGGCCCAGGTAGTAAAACTGGCGACAAGGAGGAGAAACACAGGAAATGAAAAAATTTTTTAAAAAAGGAAAAATGTTTTAAATACAAAAGGAAAACAGAAAAAAATTTAATTTTAGCTTTAAAATATTGGATTGGCTTTGGAAGAATTATATTAGGTAGAATACACATACAATCAAAAAAATTTTAAAAAAGCTAAATAACTTAAAAACTGAGGCGTACAACGGAGCAACAGTATCGGTTCTCAGTGTCTATTTCAAGATACACTTGGAGACAACCGTCCGGATTTTCCACTTCGGTTCTTTCGAGCTTAGTAATACTGATAATAAAAGAAAACCATGATTTTTTTCCCCCTTTGGAAAATAAACATAAGACTAAACATGAGAAAACGCTAACTTATTGGAAGAAAATCGGAGAAACATTGTTGGTGTCAGTGCTTTGAGAGCTGGTTGACTGAGACGCACGAACTTTTTAATTTTTAATATTTTTTTAGGAAACTTTCGCAGTCCCCGCCTTTCCACCTCACCTGACCCCTCCCCCAGCCACCCTTTTCTACATTGCCCTCCCTTCCTCAAGCTGTCATGGGAATCTTCTGGGATGCAAATGAGTGTGGTTGGCCCCTGTGCCTGGTGTTTCAGTCCCCTTGGTGCCCCCGCCCCCACCCCGCCCTGCGTTCGTAACTTACCGGTGCCCAGCTCCCGGGCCGTTTGCATAATTAGGGAGGGCGAGGGCGGGCCGGGCGGGAGGCCCGCGGAGAGGCAGGCGGTAGCTGCAACTTGGGGTGCCAGCCGGCCTAGCAGAGGCTCCCTCGGCTGAGGAAAATCCGGACCAATAAGTCGATTCAGACTCATCATCAATTCCTTTCAGAGATGTTGCTAGTTCCCAGCCTTGCCAGCATCTGCATATCAGAGAATCTTGCATTTGTTACAATATGTGTCATCTACCAATTTTAAGAACAATAGTAAAAAAAAAACCAATATGAATACGTTGATTAGTATGTAATTCCTTCGGAGGGGTATGTACCATTTCATTCTCTTCTGTTTTCCAAAGCTTTGCCCGCATGGTTTATGAGCTTCTTCAAAGAGGACTTGGGCTTCCTACACAATCTATAAGGTACAGAGAAAAAAAAAATCCGATCCCTTTTTAATCAAAGCCTATGTGTCAGAATTCTGCAGGTGCACTTCTTTAAAGAAGCTCAAAGAGAATAATTTAGAAAGCGGCCAATAAGAGATTGAAGCAGCTTTGAGTCTAGTTGCTAACAGATACCTCAACACGGAATTCTGGGGAGGCAGGGAGCTGCAAAATGAATTTTAGGGGAAAAGGGTAAGGGTTGTTGGAGCTCAATATTTTAACAATATTGCCCTACCTTTAAAATTGATTCCATTTCCTTGGGCTCTTTGGCGATCGCTGTTAAAGCGGGGAAAGAAGCAGCTTTGCGAGTGGTCCTGGGGAAGAGGGTAGTGCAAGCTCCCGTCTTTCAGCAGCAATTGTTTTCTTACAAGATGCTTTATGAATGAGGTTTTTTGTTTTTCCCTCCCAGACGTGCACTTGTTTTGGCAGATAATGGTAAAATGATGCAAAGTGAAAGGATGTATTTCAGCTTTGAATTTTACTGTCTGGATACACTGGGACTATTCCCAATGGATACAGTTTCATGCATTTAATCTCTCACTTCTGGCAGCTCATCTCCTTTCTGGGGCTTCATCAGGGCATTATCATGAAATAAGATCTGGAACCCGTTGTCCCTGTCCTCCCAAAAGCTGCGAGAAATCCCCTGGGGTGGGGTGGGTGAGACAGGTCTCTAAATTTAGCGTCGACACACCCACCTCTTTTTACAAAGTAGACATCAGGACCTTTGCAACATCCCCTCAAGACAAAGATCCAGGTGTCTGTTCTGCAAGATTTACGGTTAGGACCCACTAGCACTCTCAGTTCTGCTGCCTGGGATGGGCCTTGGCCTTGGGAGGAGGTTGGAGGGTTGGGGTTTAGGAACCTGTTGAGAGCTTTGTGCTGACCTTTTTATGGGAGAGGGAGTTAGGGAGCTGGTTTCAGCTCACCAGGAGGGTCTACGCAACTGTTAATGTCACACGCCAGCCCCTCTACCACCAGCTCCTTTGGGCGTCTCTCGGCGTGCAGGGCTTGGCCCTAGACGAGTTGAATGCGTGCAAAAGTCAGGAAGTAGACCTTATAGAGAGTGTAGACACGCCATCTCTCCGCAGCTCAGAAGCCTGAGCCTTTGTCCGGGCGCCCGGCCGCTTGCCTTAGATGTATTCTGATTGCAAAAGGCCAGGAGAAACCACACTGAAAACCATCGTCTCCTTTCCTTGCAGGGCAACGCGCCCCACGCGTGTGACGTGCGAGAGACGCGATGGACGCGCCTTGCTCTTACTGTGCAGGTCCTGAGAACCTGTGGGCCACTCGCGCCCAGTCGTGTTGAGGACATAGAATCAGCCGCTGGAGGGGCCGCGGGCCGCCCGGGCCCTTCCCGCTCTCGGTCTCACCCTAAGGGCTAAGGCGACCGAGAAAGCCCCACTCTCCCGTAGGTAATGGGGCGGCGCCCCGCGGGCTGCAGGCGGGGAGGGGTTTCAGTGGCGCCGAGGCCCTTTGCTAGCAGCAGCCACCGCGGGCGTCTGCTCCCAGAGGGCGAGTGGCCTAGAAATGTCCAGGGAATCGGAAGCTTCCCCTGCCTGTGCCAGGACGAAAACTCTCTCCGCCCTCACGCTCCTAGAGGCGGGGGATGGGATACGAATTGTCTTGCTTGGCTCCGCAGCCTCCCTTCGCCCGCGCCCGCGCCCGCGCCTTCCTCCCGCGCCCCAGCCAAGCAGAGCCCCCTGCGCGCCTCCCGGCCCCCGCGCGGGGCGATCCCACTGCCCCCTCGCCCGCCCTCCCTTCTCCTTTCATGTACCACCCCGCCCCTTGCTTTCGTTAGCCAGGCCCGCTACGTTTATCTGATAATTGAGTTATTAAAAGATTTGGTTTCCTTGGGCCCATAAATCAATAAACAGTAGGATTAACGCAAGAGTTTGCCTTTTAAGTCAAAGGAAACGTTTAAAGCAAGCCCTTTTGAGCGTTGTTTTCAAACCAAACAGGTGAGTTGCAGCTCTCTCCCCAGGCCTGCACTCTACACATTTTATCCATGCCGAGAGCCCTCTCCTAAATGCTCTGTCCCACACCGAAATAGCTAAAGATAGAGAGGAGGAGTCCGGATGTGGCTGCGCTGCCCTCACGCTTTCCACGTTGCACGTCCTTTTGGAGCCTCTAAAGGTCTCCTGACCATTTTCCGCCCAACCCCGCCTCCTCCGACATGTATTGTGGGTCTCAGGGGAGGAAAAAAAAAAGGCTGTTCTGGGTGAGGATTCCATCTACGAAGTGATCTTTAACTTCTCCCCAAAACTGGGAAGGTAACTTCCTCTCCCTACCCCAGGCATCTTGCGTTTTCTTTGCTTCTCTCTGACTCCACATCCTTAGCTTTCTCTATCCCCACATAAAGAACCGAAGAGGCTTTCAAAGACCTGGCTGTTTTATTTTCTTTGGCCAAGGAAACCACTTTCTCTCAATTATTTCATATCCTATGAAAACTTTGGTCGAATGGAAAACCCGAAACCCCGAACTTATCTACACACTGTTCCTCCGGTACAAAGCCTTACTTAAAAGGGCAACTCATTCCTACTTAGAGTGTTTATAGAGAATTTGTCATCACATCTGATATCCTGTATGCGTAATACATTATGTGGAAAGGAAATAATAACCTTAAACCATCTGATGTTGCCTCAAGAGCCCACAGTGTTTCCCCTCCTGTGCCAATGTATGTTAAATTATCGGCGTTAAAAAAAGAAATATCAAAATTCATTTTGTTTTCTTTTAAAAAGTGGAATGAACACTATTCTTTAAATGCCAAAATCGACTTCTCTGTTGAGTTGGTCTCTAATTCACTAACATTGTTTTTTGCCACACAATCGAGAAATATCAATCTATTGACTCTTCACGAGAAGAGTTCTGGAGGGTATCCATGTTAAGTTTGTATATATTTATTTATGCTTAATTTAATGGGAATGTGTAAATATGGCGAGCAAGTAGTTTGGGATTATTTATCTGTGAATCTAAACCTCTGTGAATGGGTGGTAAAAAAAAAAAAAACCCGCTTGACCCTAGGTAGAATCTTATCTGAATTTTTCTGTTCTTTATAGACAAGCTGTTATGGTAATAGGTAGAAATTGGTTTATTGTCCAGTGTTGATCTGATTTACATAAATAAAAAGATTGTTGTGTTTTTGTTGTGTTTTCATCTTCAGTTTCTTGAATATGATTATTAACTCTACAGACAGAAAAAAAGTATAGCCAAGAAGTTTTTCCTTTTGTCCCCTCTTACCGAAATGCAGGCAATGTTTTCATTACAGCATAAATAACAGCACAAATACAATAACTTTTGCTTCTCAGAAAAATGGACACTTTGGTTTTCACTAGGAGGCATTTTTAATTTTTTAAATTCCAAACTGACATTCTTCTCTATTTCTAACCAGATTTGCAATAAAAGTTCATGCTAACTGCATCTCTTGGTTTATTTTGCCTTTAAAAAAAATGAGGCATCAAATTGACTTCCCAGGTAACTCTGTGTTCCAATAAGTAAAGGAGTCTGGGTCCAAGTCAAAGATAAAGCTCCCCTCCCACTGCTAGTGGGCTAGCGTTCTGGCATGGTGTTCCCTGAAGGACATGGTGCAGGGGAGATGCCCACAGGGCAAGGTATGGGCTCCTGCACCCCACACCTTCAAGTCGGAGGAATTAGGTGGCTCATTTCAGGATTGAACGCAACCCTGACCTTACCAGCAAAGCTAGGTGACCCATAACCAAATGAGGAAAAGTTCCCTTGACCCACAGAAGGAAAGAGGCATAGCGGTCTGAGGAGGTAGCTTCTTACCTCAGGCTCAGAGGTTGCCTAGAGAAGGCAGAGCTTTTCTCATTTGGGTTAATGGGCTGCAGTGATCAAACATCTTCTCAATCTGTATTTCATCCCTAGGCTTGAGTGTCTTCCCTGAGACCAGGAAAGTAAAGTCATCCAAGATGTCACACAGTGTGGATGAGTCATTATTTCTCTTTAGACATCAAGGTCTTTATCTGTGAAATGTGGGTCTTCTAAGGTCCTTCCCAACATCGCCATTGCCTAGTTTAAATATAAAAAGCAGAAACAGCAATATTTATATACATTTAAGGATGATGGGCAAGTTAAATCTTGATAACCCCAGATTATGAGAGTACTTAGCATATAGTTGGTGCTCAGTTAGTAACAATATACCTCCCATATCAATTTTCTGTTTTTCAGGTGAAGTTGGACTTCCCCATAGGGAAACACAGAAGGGACAATGGAATCTGCTTTATGTGAGATTTTCCACTTCTTGGCTTCTTTATTAATTATAAAAGGGGGGAGGGTATCATGACTAGAACTATAAATGACCGAATCAAAGAAAAGCCTCCCCCGTTCCCCTCAAAAAGGAAAGGGAAGTAGAAGGAAGGAAGGAAAATCAAGGGAAGTGTGATTAACAGGGCATGCAATCCATTTATCTAGAAAGAAAACAGGTATATGCCTTATCTCTGGCTCAACTGTATTATGTTGAGCTTCATTTGCTTTTCGGAGGGTGAGGGGTTGGTTACCCCTGGGATTGTACAAAGGGGGTGGTGAGTAACTTCCATTTCCTATGGCAGATTTTCCTACAGAAAGGTTAGCTCCAGCTCTGGAGAAACAGACACGCCATCTATTATCTCATAGGTAAATTCTGACCACTTGCCCCCTTCCCACCACCGTTAACAGGGAGAGGATCTGAGACAATCTACTTTACTAGGTAAAACCCAAGGTCCTGATGGGCCCCAATGTGGGAAAAGAACTGGAAGAAAGACCTGGAAGGAGGAACTGGAAAGGAAGGAAAGAGGCAGGAAGCCTGAAGACAGCCTTGCGTAAGAAAATGGCCTTTGGCAGCTTGTCACAGCTCCTCAGCCCCTTTGTTACTGTCTTACCAGGCTGCAGAGGGAGTAAGGAAAGAACCGCAGCTGGAACCGCTAGGCCGTGGACCCCGACCACAGGCCCAGCGCAGGAACCCTAAGTGATCTTAGAGGAGGTGTCGCAACCACCTCTGCCTGCCAGGGGGCAGCCAGCCTGGGTGAGCGGCTTACAGTGCCCGAGAAGACCCCCTGCTCACCCGTATTAGCCGTTTAAGGGCCCTGATCAAAAATAATGCTAGGAGGAAGATCCGATTATTCTTTTATGAAGCTTCAGTCTTTTTCTTCATTTGCAAATAACAGCCCCCGTGGGATCCTCCGTCCCCGTCCCAGGAACCCTGGGGAGCCAGAGCAGAGAGCCATCAGAGAGGTGCTGGCCCTACTAGACCTGTCCCTTCTCGAGGGCGCTCACGATTTCCCGACCTAAGCTGCCTTCCATGCTTGGACTTGGAGGGCGGTTGTCTGTCATGTTGAAGCCTCAGAAATTAAACGTGCAGCTCACAAGTCCATTAATTTTAGCTTCCCATTAATCTATTTATAAGTGAGCCAGCGCTGGCTCTATAAATACAGTCCTATAAAATTGAACTCCTTCCCATAAATTTTCCAAGTTGTTTATTTACATGTATTCCCTCGCCCTCTAACGAGCCTCCTTTAAACTGGGGGAAGACCCGGGCACACCGACCCTCGACGGGGTGTGCTCAAACCCTCCCCAGCTTCCTGCTGGAGTCCTGGCATCCTGGGGGAGGAAGGAATCACGCGGGGGGCAGAAAACGGAGGGCGAAAGCATTTTTCCTTCTTGACTTTGTTTCCTTGTTTTTATCCCAAACTCACACTTTCCATATTTCCCATCACAAGCTCCATGTTGATTTATATCGTCATAAACAGCATTCTTGCGACTATAGCTTCTCTCATAGCTTGGGGTAAGCTCCTTTTTCACTTCCCTGGCAGCCACTACTTTGAAATCAGGCCCCATAAATAACCACATCGCTCCCTTAGGAAGAGGTCCGTCAAACGTCTCCCCGGGTCCACTTTCTCGGCGTGGCTCCCTCCCCGCCGCCGCCGCCCCTCCCAGGTCACAGGTTGGCGCGCTCCCGGCGCTTTGCGCCCCTCTTTCCAGGATGCACCAGCGGACAGCAACGTGAAGACCGCGCACGAACGCGGAGACACTCACAGCCCGGGGACAGCCAGCGTGCGCACGTACCACGCGTGCGCCGCCCCCGCCTGCGCCGAGCGCACGCACAGAGCGCCGCTGCCCTCGTCTAGGCACGCTCTCTGGGTTGCGGCGCAGGGTGTCACCAAGCGCGCACGCGCGGACGCCCACGCAAGCGCACGCACGCGCCACGGCCCCCCGGGGCGTAACTCCAGCCCCCGCGACGGCCCAGGGCGCGGCCCGCCTAGGAGGGTTCCTGCGGCGCGCGGTCGGTATGGAGGCGCTGAGTTCGCAAACGTGCGCAGCGTGGGCAACCTTGTTTTTTTCCTGAAAGCTATTTATGCTCATATTAAGAGCACTTTTATCACACAAGTTCAACACGTCCTGCGCTGCTCACAAGCGAGCAAGGTCAGGCGGCGATTTTTTTGCCCACTTGTTCGAAACGTATTGGTTCCTGCCCCTCCTGTTTCTTTTCGCCTTTTCTCTTCTCTCCGAACGAACGGGCTGCAGCCTTTTGGAGATGACTCAGGCGAGAGGCAGCCAGACCCAAATAGGGGTCACACCTGCTGCCGGGAGAGGCCCCTGCATAAAAATGCTTTTTAAAAATTTTAAAAAGCATAATAGCCAATGGACTTAGCAAAGCGTGACTTGCCCAGGCCGCACGGAGGGCAGCTCTGGCAGTCATCTGTGACTCGACCACCAGTTAACGTCCTGGACGTGCCGGTTCGCGGAGATATTAGCGAACGTTTCAAGGATGTGGCTGTCAGACGTCATTAGCCGACGCACTTAACTGGAAGGAGGGCACGGACAGGGCAAATACGCGTAGAATATTTTGGGGAGGTCAGAGTCTGCCCTCTGACACAGCCACATGTCCCTACCTGTGCAGACATTTATCAAATGGCTGGAGAAAAGAAGCTGGTACATGAGCGGCAGGGTACAGAGCGGGGGGAAGGGGAGGGTCTCTGGGACTGGGCATGCAAGTTTTCTCGGGTTGGGAATACGGACCCAAATCAGACCGGTATAGAGGTTGGAGGATCGAGTCAACCCAGTGAGTTCCAGCGCTGACCGCGTGAACCATCGGGTGCTGAGCGCTAGAACCAGCGTCTAGATGCACAGTTAGAAGCGGGGCAGCTCGGAAACACCTGATAACCGGAAAGGCAGGTGGCAGTTCGAGTGGCCAGAGTGAGTACAGCCGTGGTCCGAGTTTCCAAAGAAACAGGATTTTAGGTGGTTTCTACACGGCAGTGGATTTTACTCCTAAACTGTCGACCGTTCTAGGTTTGGAAAGGGGCGGGGGGCGGGGCGGTGTACAAAATGGCTGGGAAAATCCCAATCAATCCAAAGAAAAGTATAAAACCACACAAAACCTTAGTGCTCCATTAGCCTGCTCTCACCAAAACCACACTAAACCAAATGTGCCAGCGCTAACTTCAGGATCAAGATATTAATCTTGGACCAGGATGACTTTTGTGTATATGTTGTCCTCCTTGATAAATGATCCTACCAGAAACTAGATGAGAGAACTTTTGGGGGGGGATTGTAGTGAGGGTTATTTACCCACACACACAGACACACAGTATCACAGCATGGGAACTCCTCAATTCCTAAACAAAAAACAACCACAACAAAGCAACATTTCCAATGTGATTTTTTTTTTTTTTTTTTGCCGTGAGAGTCCCCTGTGTTAAGGAACCAAAGGAAGACTTTTTTTCGTTTCTTAGGATTTAGGGCTCTTGCTTTCAAGACAGAATTCTTTTGGCCAGAGATTCTTAGAGATAGGAAACTTCCAACATTTAAGGCAAAAGCACAGTTTACTCTTTTTATGGGTTGTTTCACACACTTTCCTTTCTGCTGGTTTTAGGAAGGTGGGGTGGTTCACAGGCTTGAGCCCTACCGACAAAATGGGCCCACTGAGTGATTCAATCACTTTTATGTTCAATCTAAATATTCTTTTCTTCTTCAAAGATAAGGGCCATTCAAGACAATGGGACCAAATAATCCAAAGAAGGATAAAGC